GCAAAGACGAACACAAGCGCGTATGTAAATATATACACAAATGTTAACACAAAAAATCCAAATCCACGTACAAACCGACGAACTAAGGCAGAGTTTCAAATCTTTTAGGTCCTCGCCAGGCAGGGGTGTGAGAAAGGCCTCTATTTAAACCAAATGCCCAGCGCCTTATACGGTGAACATAAGCACCTACTTATGTACAAATATCATACATAAGAACGGGTCAACAACCTGAAACGGCATAGGATTTAAACCATTTACANCTACTTATGTACAAATATCATACATAAGATCGGGTCAACAACCTGAAACGGCATAGGATTTAAACCATTTACATAAGAAACATAAAAAGCGATCAGATTCAGCGGATTGAGAGGGAGAAAGGGAGGCGTTTACATATCCGCATTCTATCGTTCTTGGCATACATCTATGCACCAGAGCGCCAGACGTCGCGGGAATATTTTTCCACCGCTCCATCATANCACCAGAGCGCCAGACGTCGCGGGAATATTTTCCACCGCTCCATCATAGCGCTCCGCTGAGCGCAACATCAGTTCCAGTGCGCTCACTAGAATTTGGGCACCTGGGAGCAGAGGGGGGTGCACCCACGAGGCAGCCATAACCTCAAATCTTTTAATTTTGGTAGTGAATATATTTATATTTGGAATTTATGATTATATGTGTATGTATGCTAGTGACATTGCATTTCAGCTACCCCATCTCCTAGATGCAGGCGCCTCTATCGGAAGAGAGATCGGTAAGTGATAGAGTGTAAGTTATCTACATATAAACATGGAACCAATGTTTTAACATTCGAAGCGAGGGAGAGCATAGCAAGATTCAGCCTAGCAAAAATAGGAACAAAGAGGAATAGTTGGTTTAATTTTTATATACGTATGTGCATACATATGTATACTTTTCTTGTTATGAATGCAAGAGGAAAATATAAGCGGATAAATAAACTGCATTTATTGTCTTTACAGAGAAGAAGATTCACAAGCATATATGTATATACATACAGTTCGTATTGTCACTGTTCAAATATTAATAGTAGTTCAGAGATAGTATAAATTAAAGATATTAATTAATGCAATTTTTGAAATACCTTTGTAATTAAATTTTATAGTGTAAATATTCTTGTACATATTTATGAAGAAAGAAGATGGTTTGATAGTTTGGATTTATCTGATTGATAAGGGCACAAATATGAATAATTAGACGCATTCTGTTGGTGTGAGGTGTTGCACGGGAGCAACTATGGTACAGGGGTGTGTTGACGTATTAACGATACTGACATGCGACCAGACAGAACTTAGATCTACATACGTACGAGTGTCAAGTTTAGGGGACCTTGCGGAGTAGTTGGAGTCGTAGCAAGGTCCATGGCTGCTCTGGGAATTGAGCAGATGGGGAGGGATGACTCCGCCTGACCGGACTGGTTTCTACTCTTCGCTTTCCTTCTATCCTTCGCCTACACTCTCCTCCTCTATAAGGCATGAATCAATTTTGTTTANCGAGTGTCAGGTTTAGGGGACCTTGCGGAGTAGTTGGAGTCGTAGCAAGGTCCATGACTGCTCTGGGAATTGAGCAGATGGGGAGGGATGACTCCGCCTGACCGGACTGGTTTCTACTCTTCGCATTCCTTCTATCCTTCGCCTACACTTTCCTCCTCTATAAGGCATGAATCAATTTTGTTTATGTGGTTGCAGACGAGGTAGGTGGTAAAGGTGGTGACGAATAAAGGTATCCATTTTTGACAACCAACGAACACTCAATTGGACGCAAGAAAAGAAATTTGTCTGTAGTAATAGAAATCGCCGATTTGTAGGAAAATATTTCCACTAACCGCTTAGCCCGAAATAAGCATAGTTCTTATAAGAACAACAAAGGTAGTTTGTATATTTAAGTAATGACTTATTTATTTTCCAGCCATGTGAAACTGTTGAGTACGCAATTACGTATATATGCGTATATGCAAAAGAAATGTGCAAGTCACTCGCCACCCAACTTATAAAAAAATGTCATGTACGTGTCTAAATAATTAAAATTCACAATATGCAATTTATTTAAAATTTCTGATGAAAAAATTTTGTTCAAGCGCGGCTGTGATTTTGTGCAACAAACAAATAAACGGGGGAAACAACCCAGTGAAGTGATCAGCAATATGTACAAGCGCGCCACTAATAATAGACAAGTGCAATGAGAAAAGAAACCAAGGAGTTTCGCAAAATATACTTGAAGTTACGCGATTAATAAAATGCAAATAAAAGTGAAAGCCAGTAAAATGAGAAAAAACTAAATTCTGTGCTTTGCAAGAAAAGAATAAATTTTATCAATCTTGTGCTTCGGTAGATGCGACTGGTATTTTTACACAAACAACACCGTATAAAGAATCAAACTAAACGTTCGGGCAATTCGTTAATGTTAGCCGATACACTAATAAACGTGAACATGTTCTATTGTTTTTTTGTTTTCGGAAAAATATTAAGCACTGAGTTTTCTCCCCTTTTTATTTTTACAAAATAATCACGCGCGTTTTTTTTTTTGTTTAGATTCGTACACACACAAGTGCAATGAAATTCAACCACGTACCTTAATGTGTTGTTATATGCCGTGTAGTGCGATATGCTGGTTTGTTAAAAAATGTGTCGCTGAAACTAGTGGTGCTGTGATGCAAACGTGATGCTGTGATGCAAACGTGCTGCTTGTGGTCAATGTGATGCAGCCGGTTAAGCAATTTGAACAGCCGGTTAAGCGATGAACCAAACAATCGCTGCTTGAGTAACAACCCGAAGAAAAACGCTTGATGTAGCTCTTGTGGCACGTTGGTTGTGGTGCGAAAAACTCAGGTTGTAGATGTAGACGAACGTGATGCTGTCGTGACCAATGTGGAACAATGTGGCGATCGGTTGAGGCAGTTGAAAAAACTCAGATGTGATGCTGTGTGGACTGTATAATGTGGTTACTTTTTAGGCTCGAAGACCAATATTTACGCAGGTGGCGTCGCACAAAGTGGTTTTAGAACAGTGAAATCAAAGGTCGTTTTATTTTTAGTTATCTGTGCGTTTAAATATTTTGATACACAAGAATTGGCTTACCAAACGAGATGTGACAGCTGCGATATCTCCTTTCAGACGGTCTTCTGAGAAGTGAAAAAGTGCTAACAAACGAAAAGGTATGTAGCCCACCGCACAGTAACTTTCGTTAAGTTTCCCCTCAGCTAAGTTACCGTACAGTGGGGCTTATTGTTAGCGGCTGGAAAGTTAGCCGCAACTTATATATGTGTTTGTATGCTCTTACATCAAGTGACAAAACGCGTATTAGGGTGGTGCAATATATTTAGGTCGCGGACCTAAACAATGTGATTTTTTGTTATATATTGGAATACATAAGTTTCTATAATTTATGATTATGCCAAAAGAGGCACTATTGTGCCTACTTTTCCATCTCTGGGTAAAACCGCTCGCTCAATTCGTCTGCCATCAATCATTTTTTGAAGTTTGTCTACGTTATAAAATTGAAGTTATCAGTGCAACTCAAATGCCAGATTAAAGTAAAACAAAAAACAAATAGATGAAAATATTAAAATTTTCTTTTATTTGAGACTGAAAGTGAGGCTGCATTTGTGAGACTGAAAATTTTAAAACATTTGTGTTATGTTAGCAAACTTCCAAAAATGTTCAGGCTGCCTCTCAGCGGTGTTACCTTCACATTTTTTCGAAAACTAAGATATATTTAGTATGGTGTTAAACATCGGGATTTTTCAAAAAGTAAAAATTTTTGCGGATTTTACGGCAATATTTTTTTTTTAAGGCGACACACCTCTAGAATTGAGCGTGGCAATTACAGGACTAAAGTTAGCTAAGCGCAGATTTTATTGCGGATTTCGGCAGAATATCCCTTCGTTAACAATATTTTTATAGAGAATTAAGCAAGGATTATGATGGTATAATTCTAAATCCCTAATTTACTGGTATTCACTTTGCAAATCAACTTCAAAAAGTTCAATTGTTAATAGCTAAGTTAGCTTTAGGAGAATCTTGACCATCTTATATATAGAAATATTAAGCCCCTCTCTACAATGGGCGGAACCCGAGATATTACGTTTTGAAGAAGTACGTGATTAGTCAGAATCATGAAAAAATGCAAACTTTGACAGATCATATCTCCATAGGAAAAATGCGAAAAAAAGAATTCCTCGAACACGTGTTAGCTTATTTCATGCATAGAGCCCAAAAAAAATTTAAGCCAATCGAAAGTGTGACACCAAATTTGGTGTCCGATATGAAAAAGTATGTCTCATATATGTGTGTGGCCATAAGTGGACGGTACCACTCCCATTTTCCAAAATTTTTTTATAAACGAATTTTTTGCAAAAAAATATTGTAAACATCAATTTTGAATAAATTAGCGTTAGTAGTTACTGATTTGTCGAAGATTTCGCATTTCTCGTGGGCTATTTTTTAGTATTGTCCGATTTTAAAAATTTTCAGCCGTTTAATATGTTTTACTAAGACCAACAACTGTACACCAAGAGATCATTGCAAATATAAATTTTGAGTGAATAAGCTTCAGTAGTTACCAAAATATCGCAGTTTCCATATTTCTGAAAGCTATCGTTATATGCCAGGTAGGCGTGGTTATTATTTGATTTTGCCCATTTTCAATACCATCGGTCCTTGGCTCAAAAAAGCACCCGTACCAAGTTTCGTTAATATACATATCTAAATTTGTCCTCTAGTTTTCGTGTGCGCAGACGGACAGACTGGCACGGCTTAATCGCTTAATTTTTTCCTTCTGAGCATTTATGTATACACTTGTACATACATATATATCTATCTTTTACAAAAGAGAATTCATATCAATTGACATTTTGGCACGTCACCATAATGAAACATAAACATAGTAATACTTAACTAGGCGTTTGTTATTTTCTTATTCGACTACCGAATTGCTTATAGGGTAAGTTCTATGCATAGGTTTTTTCTGTGTGGATAACTTACCCATATCATCCTCTGGTTGGGAGAAATAGTTGATTAAATCTTCAAGGCACATGACCATCTCATTTAGATTGACCTTTTGAAAGAATATTGAGTGACGCCGATTGGACTGCAGTGTTTCTAAAGCACTAAAAAATATAAGTTTTACTAAATATGAATGCAAATTGAAGTTTTCAAATTAAGGGTTTACAAGGGAGTAGGTATTTTACACTCAGAAAAAGGTTTAGTTATAATTACCAAGATTTAGTTATAACTAGTGACCAAGTGGCATAGATGGATATGGCGAAATAAATATCTAGTTCCCNTTTTTCAAATTAAGGGTTTACAAGGGAGTAGGTATTTTACACTCAGAAAAAGGTTTAGTTATAATTACCAAGATTTAGTTATAACTAGTGACCAAGTGGCATAGATGGATATGGCGAAATAAATATCTAGTTCCCGAAAGTCTGCAATTTACTTGAGACTTCTAGTTGGGACAAATGTATATTTGTTAATAATTACAAAAAGAGTACCTTGAGTGGGCAATATCATTAGTTGAATAAAATAATTGTAGAGCAAATATAAACAATGCTTTGGTTGATACAAGTTTTCAATAAATTTTGTGAACTTGCTGTAGACGTGAATCAGCTAACCGTTTATTATTGGAAAAAAGTTTCAGTTTGACACAAATCAAAATTTACTCGATGGTTGTTGTGTTAACTTTCTTCTTTTATTTGCAGATATTATAAAAAATACATACATATTTACATAAATAGTTACTGGTGTAAATAATACATATGTATATGGTGGTAAGAATTTCCTAAAAAGAAACGATGAAACAGGAATAGTCGTGCGAAAACCCAGGTCAATATCGGCTGGAAGTGCTGCTTTAAGTATACTGCTTTGCTTTTTCCTTGGCTAAATAGATACTTTCAAATTATAATTCACATGAATTATATATCCACTGAGAAACCCCGGTTGGCATCAAACTTTATATTTTTAAATAACTATGCGCACACCGAAACAACTCGCGGCGATGGCAAAACTGAAACTGAGACAAACAAGCCTGGGCATGTCATAGCACACACTTTTCTTTCTCTACCTAGCGCAGTGATCCACATTAGGGATGCAAACGATGGATCGATATTTTTGAAACATCGATAATATCGGTTCAAACTTCGATGTTTGCCATCGATAATTTTCAATTTCGTAAAATCGCTAAATTTACGATAAATCGATGCCAGTTTCAGCGATGTTTTAACATCGACTTATGCTCCTAAAATTTTTGACTGGCGATGAATTTTAATACTTATTCTTTGAAGCAACATTTAGAAATTCCGAGTTTACTCTTATGTTTCGATATTAGAAATGCTTACTTGGTCATTGAAAAAGAGACGGCCTCCCGTTGAAATTTCAACAAAATTGGGTCTTGGAACTTTAGGCTCAACGAAGTTACAACGGCATGCATTTCTATTCTATTTATAGGAAGGGTAAAGGAATGGTAAATAAATAATGGAAATAATTGAATTACAGAGAGTTGAAATGAAAAGTATTAAATTTTCCTAACAAATTTTGAACCATCGGAAACCATCGATATATCGATGTTTTTCTGGCGATGTATTTTAGCATCGATGTTCATTTTTCCGAAGCATCGAAACATCGATGTATCGATGTTACTCCCCAAAAATTTGCATCCCTAATCAACAAGCCATAGCTTACTGAGCGCTCTGTGACCACACGCGTGTTTCACCCAAGAATGATAGAATACAAGATTGCGCCGATCAGAGAGGATTTTTGAGAATAACTTTTGTGTAACGTCACACTGGTGCAATTGCGAGAGAAAAATGCCAAAACGTGAGCAAGAATAGAAGAAGAAGAAAAAATGTTGCAAGGAAAACGTAAACAAGTTGCACAAGTGTGATGTCATGCAAACCACGATTCTGTCAAATTCGTTACGAGAGGAATAGCGGTCCGAGATCGGCGCAACCTTTGTATTCTCTCAATCGTGTGTTTCACCCATATACGAACAGCGGTAGCGGAGCAATGATTTCTACGCACATAGTCTCATTCATTAAATCGTTTTTATGCAATGGTCGGCATACTAGCGCATTCAAAAGATTCAATAAGTGGGCCTGTATGCATTGCTTAGCTGGCGCTTTTCGTATGTGAAACACACATGTTCTCAGAGAGCGCTGATCATTATTTAGGGGTGGCTCACAATCATGAATATGTTCCGCTCTCAAACCAAATCGTGGTTGCCTCAACTAAGATTTGGTAACTATGACTAAACCATGTGTTGAAAGAAAGCGTATCTATAGTAGCAGAGCTTAATGACATCCTTTTATGAACCATACGCTAAGTTGAATAGAATTTGTAGAAATATGCTTCAAAAAAATATTTGTTAGTATTTACCAAACCCTTCAACTAAATTAACGATTTGGTACAACCTAGATGAATATTAGAAGCTTTAATATATTTAGTTATAATTACCAACCCATGGTAATTACCAACCATGGTAGGATTGGGATCCTTGGTCACAGTTCCCAAATATTGTAAAAATTCGGGAACTAAATATCTTTAGTTGTCGAAACGAATCCTTTTTCTCAGAGAAGGTATGTATTTCTTTTTTCCCTTTCTAATTGTTTGTACAAATTTTGATTTTTTTACCACTTGAGTAAAACTTATCATTTCTTGGTGCTGAATCCAAATCTGGCCGTACATTTGCTCTAGTACTAGAATTTTTAGATATCCTACCCCCAGATTGCCAAAAACACGGTTTTTTTTGCGATATTTGAGGTTATATAATGAGAACATTAAATTTTTTGCTCATTTCTACTTAGGGCATTATTCTCGTTTGTGGCGATTCGATTTTTCTTTCTCGAGATATACTAGTTTTAATAGTCCTTCGGTATTACGTCGTAAGCATGAGTCATCATAGCATGTGTAGAGGCTATTCAATCGTTATAAGCGAAAACGTTTTGTGTATTGATTTATGCATGTATTCTTGTAAATATTGTTAATTTTTTGCTATTGTTAAATACAAACTTACGAAAAAAGCATCTTTTGATTAAAAAAAAATGGTGCTTTAATTTGGTAAAACGCTTTTTTTTCGAGTTTTTGGTGCTTTCTGAAAATCAAAAGTTGCCCAGACTTGTTTGTCTCAGTTTCAGTTTTGCCATCGCCGCGAGTTTCGGTGTGCGCATAGTTATTTAAAAATATAGGCCCGTAGCTATAGTCAAAATAAAGTCGACCTTAAAGTTAAAAGCAGGTTTTTTTGACAGATATCCCATTGAAAGTTATGTCAAAAAGGTGCTTTTAACTTTAGAGTCGACTTTATTTTGACTATAACTACGGGCCATAAAGTTTGATGCCAACCGGGGTTTCTCAGTGAATATATAATTCACGTGAATTATAATTTGAAAGTATCTATTTAGCCAAGGAAAAAGCAAAGCAGTATACTTAAACCAGCACTTCCAGCAGATATTGACCTGGGTTTTCGCACGACTATTCCTGTTTCATCGTTTCTTTTTGGGAAATTCTTACCACCATATACATATGTATTATTTACACCAGTAACTATTTATGTAAATATGTATGTATTTTTTATGCTTAATATCTGCAAATAAAAGAAGAAAGTAAACACAACAACCATCGAGTAAGCGTTCCCACGACAGCCGGTTCTACGTACCGGAATGAGTCGGGTTTTACCCGANGCTTAATATCTGCAAATAAAAGAAGAAAGTAAACACAACAACCATCGAGTAAGCGTTCCCACGACAGCCGGTTCTACGTACCGGAATGAGTCGGGTTTTACCCGACCAAGGGCTGTTGTTTCGGCGTTCTAACCCCGTTTAGGTCGGCGAAGTATCTCAGAAGTTGTCCGTCCATAGGGCTACATTCACTACGTATTCTTCTACTCAGGGCTGGCATCGAGTCAAACCCAGGCCCAGAAACCTACAACTGCTGTGTATGCCGGAGACGATTACACCACAACTCCACCTCAGTCAAGTGTAATGCCTGCGAGGGGTGGAGTCACCCCAGAGTCTGCTCGGGTCTACGGACACATTGACAGTGGACCACGTCGTACGTGGCCCTCTGTTGCTCAAACAGAGCAGCCTCCACGGCTAACCACAGTCCGCCCGAGCAGCCTCACACAGTCACCACAACACAACAACATAATAACACCACAGACCATACCACAGCCACGACAGACCACATAACACACACAACCGCACCACCACCCACACGCCGCCGCCAACAACTCCTGGTTCCCCCTACAATCTGCACGGTATGTCAGACCAGGATATTTTGTAATGTGACATCAGTCAAGTGCAACACCCACCTTGGCTGGTGCCACTTTAGGGCATGCTCAGGTCTGCGTACCACGCGAGACTGGACGAGGAACTTCGAGGGCCCGTGTTGCGCTGCTCGGTCGCAGACCCCAACTGCGACGCCTCCCGCCCCCACCACAGGGCGGCAACCATCACAGCAGCGCACACAGCCAACGGCAGTAAGAACACACATATCCCTTACACCCCACATCACAACACGTCTCCCGAACCACATGAAGCTCCTTCAATTTAACTGCAACGGGCTACAGAGCAAGATTGAGGAGATAACCCTCTTCATGTGTCGGCATGGTATATTGATAGCTGCGGTCCAAGAGACGAAGTTGCACAGCAATTCAACTTTGTTGAATTGCGCCGGGTACAACGTGCACCGTCGAGATCGCGAGCGAGATAATGGTGGTGGCTTAGCGTTCATCACGCACCACACCGTGC